TCCGTCGTTTTAAACCCAAAATTATTGCTCTGTTGCACGTGTAATTCCAGCCGGAGATTTGATTTCTCGAGGTCGCTCGATGCACACGCAAAATTGACCAAGAAACGAGAAAAGTAAGAAAAAAATTATGCGATCAAAACGAACGTTGTCTGTCTGTCTGTTCATACGTGTATTTATTGTGTGCGCTGGAAAGAGAGAGAGTCCACAGTGACTGAAATGAATGCATGAATATATCGAGCAAATTATTCGAACGATTTTTACTAGGTCAAGAGCGATCGGTTGTTGCTTTGCCTTTTTCGATACGATCCCATTGAATAAAATACATTTTTTTTTTATATAATGTTCCTATACATTGAAAAAATGAAAACTGATTAGTTTACGCATTCTGCAAGGGAAAAAAAAATAGGTTATTACATAATTACGAATGAAACTGAACGTCCGAAGGTCTCTCCAACTCAAATTAACTTCATTATCATAAAAAGAAAGTTAATTTACTTTTTGTTACGTATGTGCATGTATATGAATTGATAAGCAATTGAAATGTGTAATACTAATTATGTGGACAATTATTTTCAATATTGTATCCAAATTATTCAATTTTATGTAATATTCAAGAATTTTATAAATGAAAATTCGAAAACTGTTTTTTTAAAAGTCGGTTTTTGTATAAATCCTAGTATTTTTTTACTGTTTTCATCATATATATTCTTCGTATACGATACATTCACCAAGCACTTATTATAATGACATTTATAACTAAAACAAACAACAAACTGTCCAAACTAAATTTTCCATATTTATATTTCTTGTTTCTGTTATTCAAAAATGAACAGGGGTGGATTTAGGCATGGTCTTTAAGAGCTGCAGCTCAGGACAAATAAGGGTGGTAACATTGCAAATGACCAGTTGACTGTCGTCCAATTGAACGTCATACACTTGTCAAGTGCACAGCAAAACAAACTTAAAAAATAGAGTTGATTAACTTAGTGTCAACTTATTGCTGACATGGCATCGACTTAGATAGAACTTAGTCTCTACATAGTATTGACTTATTGTCGACTTAGTATTGACTTAGTGTTTACTTTTAGTCGACTTAATGTTAACTTAGTGTCTACACAGTATTGACTTAGTTTTGACGTAGTTATGATTTAGATATAACTTAGTGTTAACTTATTGCTGACTTGGCATCCACTTAGATAGAACTTAGTCTCTACATAGTATTGACTTATTGTCGACTTAGTATTAACTTGGTATCGACTTAGTATTGACTTAGTGTTTACTTTGAGTCGACTTAATGTTGACTTAGTGTTGACATAGTTATGATTTAGATATAACTTAGTGTTAACTTATTGCTGACTTGGCATCGACTTAGATAGATCTTATTCTCTACATAGTATTGACTTATTGTCGTCTTAGTATTAACTTGGTATCGACTTAGTATTGACTTAGTGTTTACTTTGAGTCTACTTAATGTTGACTTAGTGTCTACATAGTATTGACTTAGTGTTGACGTAGTTATGATTTAGATATAACTTAGTGTTAACTTATAGCTGACTTTGCATCGACTTAGATAGAACTTAGTCTCTACATAGTATTGACTTATTGTCGACTTAGTATTAACTTGGTATGGACTTAGTATTGACTTTGTGTCGACTTAGAGTAAATTGACTTAGTGTTTACTTTGAGTCGACTTAATGTTGACTTAGTGTCGACTTATAGTCTACATAGTATTGACTTAGTGTTGACGTAGTTATGATTTAAACTTAACTTAGTGTCGACTTGCTATTTATTTACTTAACTTTGACGTAATTTTGAATTAGTGTCGAATTATTGTAGACTTAGTACCGACACAGTTTTGACGAGTTAGTGTTGGCATAGTATCGACTCAATTTTGACTTAATGTCTTCCTACGAGTTCGTATTAGTGTTTACTGTATGTCGATTCATAGTTAACTTAGTATTGATTTATTATTTCAATTTAATGTAGTTGGCTTAGTATCAGTTTACATAGTTTCGACACAGTTTTGACTTAGTTATCAGTTAGTGTTGAATTAGTTTCGATTCAGTGCTGGCTTAATATCGAATTGGAGTTGACTTAAGAGTTAATTTAGTATCCATTTAGAATCCATTTAGATCCATTTAGACTTTACCTAGTGTCGATTCAAAATGAACTTAGTGTTGACTTAGTATTTACTTAATGTTGACTTAGTGTCTACCTAGTCTCTACATAGTTATAATTTAGACATAACTCAGTGTCGACTTGCTATTTATTTACTTAACTTTGACGTAATTTTGAATTAGTGTCGAGTTATTGTAGATTTAGTATCGACACAGTGTTGACTTAGTGTCGAGTTAGTGTTGGCACAGTATCGACTCAATTTTACTGTATGTCGATTCATAGTTAAGTTAGTGTTGACTTAGTATCGATTTACTATTTACTTAATTTTGACATAATTTAGAGTTTATTTAGTTTCTGCACAGAGTGTTTAATTAGTGACGACTCAGTTTTGTCTTAGTATCATTTTCTCTTAATTTTGAATTGGTGTCGACTTAAGAGTTAATTTTGTGTCTTCTTAACTTAGTATTGATCTAGTATCAAGTCAATGATATCGTCTTAAAGTTTACCTAGAGTTATAATATTGACTAAGCTGTTCCTATATTTAAGAATTTGACGTTTAAATAATGATCAAAAGACTGAATCCAGCTAATTACTTGCGATACAAAAATGCAAAACGAATGATCTGTACACATGTACGGAATCGTGTTACAGCAGACCTCGGAAGGAAGGATATTCAACGTTTAAAGGTTACATGGTGGCCCTCGGCTGGACCAGGTCAAGTCGATTCTGTGTATGTTATTTGATTGATCTCAAGCCTACAAAAGAATTAGTTACTTGG